ACAGTATGTCTTTATAAACTATCTATATGTGTTTTGAATTTTCCGAAACTGGTTTTATTATTTTATACTTACTAAGAATCTAACTTAATACATATAACATATTAGCGGCCGCTTTAAGGGGTGAGTTTTAGATAATATATTCATAGCACAGGCCTACACCATTATAGCTTCATTATAGGTGTGTGTTGCAAATTTCTGCGCAATCCGTACAATGGCTTAAGCTGTGCGCTGATATATCAAGTTTTTTATGAGGAGCTCGATAGCGCCAGTGGTTAGCGCATTCGGCTACGGTGGTTGAAGTTGAGCAACTTTCGGAGTGGACGGTCATTGGATGGGTGACCAAAAATTACTATCTCGAGCTCCTCCGTGCTTCGAAAGGCACGTTAAGCCGTTGGTCCCGGCTGCATCTGCAGTCGGTAGCACCCACCAACCCGCACTGGGCCCGCGTGGTGGATCGTGGCCCGATCTCCCTAATCCATCCATAAGGCCTGTGCCCCAGCAGTGGGGACATTAATAGGCTGATGATGAAGTTTTTTATAGCGTCTAACTGCCAAACTCCATAGTAATTTGACAATTGAGCGAGATAAAAACGCGTTATATATTTTAACTCGGTACTCATGCTAGGGGAGCTGAAACGGTTGCTTTTTATATGATGACGATGAACACACAGCTTACTGTCCTCATCATTCTAGGTCCAGCCATTTCGGCTGTGCATTGATGAATCAGTCAGTCAGCCTGTCAGTGTATGCTTTTCTCTCTTTATATAATAAAGATAAAACTCGACTTAGTCTAGGCAATATTCAACATATATTTTTTTCACTGCCAACTGAATTCTCCTAAGTATTTACTGGGGTTACACGACCACGTATATATCGTTTTGTTTTGTAATACGTAAGAAGTCTATGACTATCCGGTAGACATACCTACTTAGCGTACATAAAAAAAACAGGAAAGATTAGGTTAACTCAATTACTTGCATGTGGAAATTAATTCCCAGCTCATATAAAATATGACATGATGAAGAAAATAAATGAAGACAAAGTAAAAAATAAAATAAAAATCAATATGTTTTATTTTATATTTTAAATATGTTATGTTTTGTTTCATTTCAATTGGCGAATAAGACAAGAGTAACAGCATTTTTTTAATACAGAGCCTTTAAAATGCTTGTGGTTTGTCAAGGTCACATTGACGGGGTACCCAGACGTGTTGTGCAAAAAGTATTAGACCCTAATCTGATATCGAGAGAGCCTTCATATTTATTACCTCCATAAAGACTATTATCGATAACCAAAAGGTATGAGGATCGATGCAAAATCGATGCTAAGCGATGTCGATTTTTTTTCACTCGGACAATGCGGTTTTGGGGCTCTACGGAATGTGTCAATGAACCTTGATTCACAGAAGTACGGTTTGCATTATAAAAATGCAACGTAAAATTCAACGTATAAAAGATCATGATTAATTTCGAGTAAGTTGATTGTCATGCGATTGATTTATTACATTTCTTTATATTGAATGCCCTTGTTACAAGTTTCACAGAACTTTCAGATAATATACCTAAATAAAATTTAAACTTTTAAGACTTCACAAATGGCGCGAAAGAGATAATGCAAAAGATATTTTAGCTAATAATAAGTATGATACAAAAAAATAAAGGTACAGTACAGTGGTCTAAAACTGAGACGAGATGAATTTTAAAATAAACGTTTCTTAAATTCTAAAATTGGATATAAATCTAAATACGCTTTTGGTTGCCCGTACGTAACAAAGTACTTGAATACTTTTTACGTACAATCTAATACGATTGTATGAATGTATGACACATTGAATTGATGATATAATATAATTATGTGGGTTCGTTGATAAGTGAGTTCCTAGTGACGCACTGTAACAAATATCAAAAATGTAAAATGTGATTAATTATTTGTAATAAAAAACCAAGTCACTCGAATTGATTTTATTATATAGTAGTTCCGTTGAATTTTTCTAACTAATTTCTAATAGTAATATATAATAATAATAAGTATACTAAAGTATAGTTATATTATAATATAGCCAGTTCTAAAGCAACAGTAAGATTGAGCAATGTCATCACTATTGTCTTATTATCCGTGTTTTCTCAAAATCCCTTGGATTTTCGCAAAAAAACGATTTATCAAATCATCCTACGACATATACATAAAATATGGGATTAAGTCCACAAAAAAATAAACCACCTCTATAATTAATTTATGCGTTTATTGACAAGACTGGTAAGTGTTTATGCATATGCCACCTGAAATGAATACATATACACACAGAAGATTTTCCATATACTTCCTTATTTATAATATTGCTAGGAATTTCATTCTCTCTCATAAAAATGACACAATCCAGTGTTCAAAACTCTCATTTATTCTATAAACTCGCAACGGTAGAGTTTAGCAATCATGCATGGTCTGTACTAGCAGATCAGCCAATATATCATCTACATCTAATTAACGATCACGGCAGGCTCAGGCATAGCGTTGATTTTAAATTTTCCATAAGCATTATGCTATAGCAGGCAGTTTTAAAAACACAGGCTTACTCAGTGTAACTCTGGCTACGTACTGAAAAATCACAAAACAACCAACAAACGTCGGATGCTCAAACTGGAGCAAAAAATAAACTGTATATAGGTATCTTAAATTTGAAGTTATCGGTCGGTCCATTGTACACGCATCCGACCCAACAAAGTCAAACTATCGGCCGATCAAAAGCTCGTGGTCTGCGGGGTCCCAAAATGGCGCCCAGGACGGGTTATTACAGCAAAAGGAATTATACAAAAATTATTACGCAAACAGCCAAAATCGATCCGAAACGCGAATCGCAGATTACGATAACGCCCGGCGGGGGACGAGTCCCGCAGCGACGGCGCCAAAAAGTGACAAAAAAATACGGCCGACGTGCGAATTCAAATACCCACCTACCAAATTACAGAAACCAGGTATCGAAACTAGGCAGGTATGTTTAACTCAATACCGTGTGCAATACGTACCGAGTTTGGAACAGGTTTTGAAGTACTGGTAGAACATGAGCGATGTATGGCGAACGTGGAAGAATGATTTTTCGAGTGAATGAGAGAGAGATTATCATCGATCATGAGCAGGAAAACGTTATCAACTCAAAAAAAAATATCTTACGTGCTTAATATTACTTTCAAATTTCTTTTACGGATAAAGGGCGAAAAAGAAGAAAATATTTGTCTCTGGCTAGGGTTACCATTTAGGAATTTCAAAAGTACCTGACAAAAATCCTGACATTTCGAAAAAAGTCTTAACTTTTTAGTCACAAAATGGTACCATTACTCACTTAGTTACAATGGTATGGTGTATAAATCAATATATATACTTTTATTATTCATATTGAATGTAATTTAAAAATACCGGATAATTTAAAGTTCCGGACAAAGTCCGCACATATCTGAGCTAATCCGGACGGATGGTAACCCTATCCCTGGCTGAGGCTGATTTTAATGTGTCTCAAGTTTGTCGTCTTTACAATTACTAAAATATAACAATTAGAATCTGTGCGGAAAGAGAATGGGCGTGGCGAAAAACTGAACTAACATTAAGATTTTTATTTGGCAATCAAACCCAGCTATCTGTAAAACGTCAAAGTTTTGTATTGATACGGATTTGTTTGTTGTTGTGATTTCTTGTGGTTTTTTGTATTTAATCATGTCTAAAAGGGGTAAAACCTTACAAATACGGTAGAAAAGCACTACAGCGCCCTCCAATCTAAATCCCATTCTCTTTCCGCACATACTCTACTAAAATATAAAAAAAATCTTATGTTAACCCTTACTATATTTTATTTATATCTCTCTACTAGCTGACCGTAATTCGTACCGTTTAACAATCGATAAATGTGGTTATCTCTAGATTTGAGTATGCTGTTTCCAGTATTTTTTCTATTCGATTTCTGTTTTAAAATGTCTACTTTTGTTACTGATTTGCAGTATAAAGAAGTTTGCACTCATTTTGGGCATCATAATTTTATTGCGCACCTGACAGACCCTACCAGAATACCAGCGTTATCGTCACACGCCTGGTAGCGTGTGGCAACTATGCTGAGACCAGGTTTTGACCCTGCATAAAAGAATACATAAATAAATATACCATTAATATAGAAACTCACATCATTAACATCATCATCAGCCTATTAATGTCCCCACTGCTGGGGCACAGGCCTTCCCTATGGATGTAATAGGTAGATTGGGCCATGACCCACTGCTCATGTGCTAACGACTGCAGATGCAACCGCGATCAACGGCTTAACGTACCTTCCGAAGCATGGAGGAACTCGAGATGAAATCTTTTTGGTCACTCATCCAATGACCGACCATTGCGAAAGTTGCTTAACTTCTACGATCGCATCCGAACACGCTAACCACCTCCACCATGGAGCTCCTCCACATTACAACTTATCTGATTGCAAATGTGTGACTAGTCAAGAACTATCAGATTACTTAGCTGCTAAATTTGTTTTCGGGTTTGAACAGTTGCAAATACTTACGCAATTTGAAAAGGTGTTTTCAACAATAGTGTTATGAATCATCTGTTGTTATTGTAGGAAATACATCGTGTAATTTTATGTCAAAGGTTTTGGTGTTTCTTGTGACCATTTATTCCGCGACTACAAGGAGACCTGAATGGTTCAATAGGTGATAGAGTAAAAAACTATGGGAGAGCTGCTTTAGGTTTCATGCTACCAATTTGAATAAAAATGATATGAATTATTGTGTGATTACTCCCTAATTTGATCTGACAACCTTGTTGGGGATCTGCCTCGACTCCTTTTGCCTTGGACATTTCCAACGACAACTAGTTTCCCATAGTTGAGAATGATCTATTAATACGGGCCTTAAAGCTAGAAAGAACTTGGTTAAAGCTCTTTAGAATTTCTTAAGCACTTTCAGGATTGCCTCCTGCTTTTGACATCATTAACTTGGTATTATTTTAAGAAGTCCTTACCTTTGTTCTGTAGAGCGGGTTGGAGAAGTCCCAGCCCGGCGCCACGAACAGATATCCGCACTTAGATATCTTCCGACTGGCCTGGGGACAAAAAAAACAAACTTTTAACACCAGACTGTACAGAAAATAAAAATGACATTATTATCGCACAGTAAAGATAACAGCCTCATGCATCATAGTGTCGCTGATTTCGTTTTTGTCGCGTCCTAAAAATCGGCTTCGGTCATCGTCCAAAAATCCCTTACACAAAGATAAGTAAGAATGATTGTAAATTCCGAAGAGGATGTCGTAAAGTTGCACTTGAGCGTTTGCTTTTGCGAGTATTTTTTATTGTTATCTTGACTTCGGATAGTGACATTCCACGCCTTCTATTGTGTTGCATCATTGGTGAATTTATTTCAATGTCAATAAAATAATTCGTGGAAGTGAGCAAACTAAACATATATACACTATTGTGATTGTTTTGTAACTTCAATGCCTTGGGATATCAAAAGGTCACGTTGAAAATAAATAAAAATAAAATCAATCAAGTAAATTAATGAAGAATGATTGTAAATTCCAAAGAGGATGTCGTAAAGTTACACTTCAATGTTTGCTTTTTCGAGTATTTTCTATTGTTATCTTGACTTCGGATAGTGACATTTCTATTGTGTTGCGTCATTGGTGAATTTGTTTCAATGTCAATAAAATAATTCGTGGAAGTGAGCAAACTAAACATACATACACTGTTGTGTATGTTATGCCTTGAGATCTCCAAAGGTCACATTGAAAACAAATAAAAATAAAAGCAATCAAGTATATAAACATTTGAAAAGATTCTGAGAAAACTTATTAACAATGTCCAGATTCACTGGCGCATCGCCTTGAAAAAAGAACTAATATTGCAAAAAGTGGCATAAAACACGATGATCTAATACCATATTAAAACAAACAAGGTCTTAAAAATAAACAGATTATTTAACGTGTGTTTTTTAAATATATCAAGTATAATCATAACTTTTATTACATTGGAATCAGTTTTTTTTTATTATTGACAAAAGTTTTTGCAGTATCCAAAGATAAAAAGAATATAAACACTCATCAAACTTCATCTTGACGATTTTTAGTGCCCATAAAAGACGGACGTCGAAGTTCCCATTCAAAATCGTATACTAAGCATACAAATTGATGAAAGATCGGCAATTCGTAAAATGCTGATCAAAGCTGTTGTGTATTAACGAATTTGCTACGAGTAATAGATTGAACTAACAAATGTTGCAATATACCGAGAATAGGGATCATCAAATCGTCATCGCGACTTTCAATGCCTTTAGTTATTTTCAATGCAGGCAATAATATTGCGTTCCATTGACATCGCAACAATGCATAAGGTGACGTCTAAAATGTTATAAAAGCTTATTGAACAGCTTTCTCACTTTTACCACATACTTCTTGACGCTAGTAACACTTATATTTAGAACCGATTGTTAAAAGTGAAATTGACAATAAAATTCTCTCGATCGAGCTTGGAGAGAACGCATATTTCAATTGAAACATATGCGGTAATTGAACACTCGAAACTGTTTCAAATTCTGTGGATTCTAGTGAGTCGCGAGGGTGCTCTAGTTACGTGTCTTTTGTTTTATTATCATAGCTTCCGAAAACTAAAACAGTTAACATTACTTTTCGTTATTAAAAAGTATTTAAATAAGAAATGCTACCAATGAACATGTGTATTTATTTACTGATTCATATATTATGAACCACAGGGGTTAGTAGAAAACAATTGTCTATTTATCCAAGATATTGAAAAAAAAAATGTGAACAAATCATACTACTACACGCAAAGTTAACAGTACCCAATGAGTCAACGTCGACAATGTCAGAGTTCCCACGGCTCGCATATGGCTACCCTGAAAAACTACGTTATTCGATAAACCAGTGGGTATCTATTACAATTTAAACCTTTCCCCAACGCAATAAGAGTTGAAATTACCGCGAAGGGATACAATTGATGCGCTTCGCAATTTTTGCATCATATTGTGATGTCATGTGATGATGATGGGAGATTACATTATTGTTTGCATTGAGAGTTGACCCAAGCTTTTGGTGAACACTTGTTTGGAGAACGTTGAACTTTCCCAGCTGTTTGTTCATGCGTCGCAATTAACTGTTGTGTAATTAAGGTAAGGATGTCGTTTAAATATACATTTATTGTGATTAATTTTGGGTGTGTTTGAATTCCAGTTATGTTAAGGACTCCATTTACCAATATTATTAGATTCAAAAATACTTTTATCTTTTGTTTAGTGTACTAAAAGCAAAGTTTCAAATACGGTTCGGCTTTGGAATTGTATTTTATTTATTCATTTATTTATTTATTCATTTATTCATTGCATATCACATTCATTATTTTTTTTAAACAAAAACAACTCTTATCAAAGTCAATGTTTTTGCATTTAACTTCTAGATATTTAAATCTTAAGAAAATTTTACTAGCCTACAATTCCGGCCAGACATTGATGCGAAGAGATAAATAACGCTGCTTTGCAGCCTAAGAAATACTAGAAGAAATTAATACGACCTATCGGCCGAATATGGTCGATGACGAAGCCCGAGCATAGTTCAGCCGATAACGGGTTTGATGTATCCAAAGCCTTATTTATGCCTATCAATGCCTTACTTACTTTTCGTCATGAAACTCCGACTTTTCAGAATTGTGGTCTTTGAGTGCAGTGTTCTGTTTTCTTCTATAATAGACTACCCATAAATCCACTTCAGTTAATCAAATACGGCACTTGTAAACAAATCTGGCGAACTTTAGTATTAGTACTTGAATCGCGTACCGATTTCGCTGTGCAACGCAGATGTGAGCACTTAAAATCAAATCAAAAATAAGTGACATCAACCCAAGAGTGCAGCAGCTGGGAGGCGCGAGTCAATGACCCCGGTGACACATCAGCTGTACTGTGTGACACTGGTGCGCGGGGCAATTGATGACCCGCACAATACGTAATTAAGATTTGCAACCTGGGGGTCAACTCTCTTTCTTCGAAACGAACTTTCGATAACGAAGTTCAAACGAAATTTAATTTTAGTCAATTTAAGGTTTTACATACTTAATTTGAACGATAAACTATCAAATCGAAGCTTCCGACGACGAATATTATTATAATTAAAAACGAACCAGAAACACAGTAAGAAAAGTGCGCAGTTTGACACATCAGCTGTGGTGTGTGACACTGGTGCGCGGGGCAATTGAGGACCCGCACTACGTAATTAAGATTTGCAACCTGGGGGTCTACTCTCTTTCTCCGAAACGAAGTTTCGATGAGGAAGTTCAAACGAAATTTAATTTTAGTCAATTAAGTGTATACATTCATAATTTGAACGATAAACTATCAAATCGAAGCTTCCGACGACGAATATTATTATAGTTAAAAACGAACCAAAAACACAGTAAGAAAAGTGCGAAGTTTGACACATCAGCTGTGCTGTGTGACACTGGTGCGCGGGGCAATTGATGACCCGCACAATACGTAATTAAGATTTGCAACCTAGGGGTCTACTCTCTTTCTCCGAAACGAACTTTCGATAAAGAAGTTCAAACGAAATTTAATTTTAGTCAATTTAAGGTTATACGTACTTAATTTGAACGATAAACTATCAAATCGAAGCTTCCGACGACGAATATTATTATAATTAAAAACGAACCAAAAACACAGTAAGAAAAGTGCGCAGTTTGACATATCAGCTGTGCTGTGTGACACTGGGGCGCGGGGCAATTGATGACCCGCACAATACGTAATTAAGATTTGCAACCTGGGGATCTGCTCTCTTTCTTCGAAACGCACTTTCGATAAAGAAGTTCAAACGAAATTTAATTTTAGTCAATTTAAGGTTATACATTCATAATTTTAACAATAAACTATCAACGACGAATATTATTATAATTAAAAACGAACCAGAAACACAGTAAGAAAAGTGCGAAGTTTGACACAACAGCTATGCTATGTGACACTGATGCGCGGGGCAATTGATGACCCGCACAATACGTAGTTAAGATTTGCAACCTAGGGATCTGCTCTCTTTCTTCGAAACGCACTTTCGATAAAGAAGTTCAAACGAAATTTAATTTTGGTCAATTTATGGTTTATACATACTTAATTTCAACGATAAATTATCAAATTGAAGCTTTCTTTGAGTAGGCTTCGAAAATCTACACCTCATTCTATATACCGACGACGAATATTATTATAATTAAAAACGAACCAGAAACACAGTAAGAAAAGTGCGAAGTTTCTATCGAAATTTCGTTTTTCGTTGAATTAGAGTAGGCCTCCTGAACTGAATTGAGCCATTTGGCAAACAAAAGAGGTTGACGGCCGACGCGAATTTATTGGAAGGCCAATTTCTCGTTTACGTTTACGGACACGTTTATTAACGTACGTTGACTTAACATTTAAGTGAACTGAACTTAGTAATTTTTTATTATTTTTTATATAGATAGGTCCGACAAATGACTCCACCCCACCTGATGTTAAGTGATGGTGAAGTCCAGACGTGAAGATAGCTTTTAAGGAACTTCTTTTTAGGTGTGACTTAGAGAGGGAAACATTTCTTCAGAATAAACGTATTTTTACTTCTGTACTTCACTCGAAGTTGTCAACCGTTACGTTTACCTAGGGCAGACAGTCCAGAGGCCCAAGCACGATATTTGACAGTTCCGTATCGCATCGTCACAGTTTTAATGAAAACTAAACAGCGCCCTCTGCCGGACGTAAGAAGAGACTGGCTCCTTCCATATAAAATTTGACGATGACTACACGATACGATTACGGACATACATAGGGAAGGCCTGTACCATCTACACCACGCGGGCCTAGTGTGGATTGATGGGTGCTTAAGACTGCAGTTACATCCGGGACCAACAGCTTTACGTGCCTTCCGAAGCACGCAGGAGCTCGAGATAGTAAACTTTTGGTCACCCATCCAATGACCGACCACTGCGAAAGTTGCATAACAACAACGATCGCAGCCGAACGCGCTAACCACATGCGCCATCGAGTTCCTCATTGAGTAGTCACTGTCTGAAAATATTT